CTCAGCTGGTCTTCAGTTTTCCCATAGAATCCCAAAGAAGTAGGCTCTAATGCCCGTGAAGGAATGGACTGCCCAGCAAGAGTGACAGCAAGCAGGCAGAGAGCAGAAACTTCCTTCTTCCGTGTCGACAATGGACTAAACCTCTGAACTCTAAGCCAGCCCCAGTCAAATGATTTCCTGTATAAGAGTTGTTGTGGCCATGGTGTCTCTTCACAGCGATAGAACCCCAAACTAAGCAGAACTTGGTACCAGGGACTGGGGTATTGTCATGTTACACCAGACCACACTTTTGTTTGGAAGAATATGGAACACTTTGGGACTTTGGACTAGAAAAGGAATTGAACACTTTAAGTGGGGCTTAATGGCCACACTAGTAGGCACATGGAAGACAGTGGTGCTGAGAGTGATTTGGACTGTGGGGGTGTGGCTCCAGAAGTTTCAGAGAAAAAGAATATCAGTACGTGGCCTAGAGACCAATCTTGTGATGTTTTGGTGAAGAATATGGCTGCTTTCTACCCTGGTCCAAAAATCTGCCTGACGCTAAAGTGAAGAGTTATGGATTAACAGCTTTGGTAGAGGACAGTTCCAGGTAGCCTAGTCTTGACTGTGTCTCTTGGTTATTAGTGGCCATGCTTATGCAGATTTATAATGAAAAGAAGCAAGCTGAAAAAGGAAAAAAATACAAAATGTAGAGTTTGAGGAGCCAAGGGGCACCAGGAAGTGAAATGGAGCTAACTCCTGTGTTCAAGAAGATAAAGAGATTAAAGAAAAGCCTGGCCAGGTATGGTGGTGGTGGTGCACACCTTTAATCCCAGCACTAGGGAGTCAGAGGCAGGGAGATTCCAGGGTTCAAGGCCAGCCTGGTTTACAGATCGTGTTCCAGAGCAGTCAAGCTTAGGCAGTGAAGGAAACCACCAAAACACAGAGTTGGTGGAAATGTATTTGAACAAGGGGGGCCATGTTCTAGCCCTAGAAAGCAGCAGAATTTGGCAGCTTAGCCATGTGGTTCTGGCTTTAGAGTCAAGGATACAATAAAGTGGTTATGGAATCCTCTTCCAAGACTAAAGAAAACTTCTGAGGCCAAGCATGTATCAGGGATGTTTCTGAATGGAGGTCCAGAGAGGCCATTGTGTGAAGCTGTGAAGGTGAAGTCTAGATTGCCTTGGAGACCCCAAGATGTTGGGATGCCAGAGTCATGGGATTCCTATCAAGGAGAGCTGCTAACAGGGAGTGGAACCAGCCCAAGAGAGAAGTGTGTTGGAGTCAACAAAGCCAAAAGGAGTTGGAAATCTGAAGAGTGCTTCTCCATCAAACATGGAGGTGAAGAGTTTGGAGTTTTCCCATCTGGTTTTTGGTCTTGCTTTGGTCCAGTATTTCCTCACTATGCTCCCTCTTAATCCCCTTTGGACCGGTAATGTATATCCTGTGCTGTTGTATGTTGAAAGTATGTGATTTGCTTTTTCATTTTGATTTCACTAGGGATTAAAGTTAAGAGTTTGCATGAGTCTCAGAAGAGACTGAACTTTGGACATTTAAACAGTGCTGATACTGTGATAGACTATGGGGACTTTTGAATTTGGGCTATGATATACTATAAGCTTATGGGGGTCAGGAAGTGTAATGTGGTGGTTTGAAAGAAAATGACCTCCATAGGCCCACAGTGAGTGGCACTATTAGGAGATGTGGCCTTGTGGGAGGAAGTGTGTCACTGGAGGTGGGTTTTGAAGTTTCAGGTGCTCAGCCAGGCCCAGTGTCTCTCTTTTTTTTTTTTTTTTTTGGTTTTTTCGAGACAGGTTTTCTCTGTGTAGCTTTGCGCCTTTTCCTGGAACTCACTTGGTAGCCCAGGCTGGCCTCGAACTCACAGAGATCCGCCTGGCTCTGCCTCCCGAGTGCTGGGATTAAAGGCGTGCGCCACCACCCAGTGTCTCTCTTCCTCTGTCTGCTGATCCAGATGTAGAACTCTCAACTACTTCTCCAGCACCATGTCTGCCTGCATGTTGCAATGCTTTCTGCCATGATGATAATGAACTGCCAGCCAGCCCCAGTTAAATGTTTTCCTTTATAAGAGCTGCCATGGGGCAGGATGGTGGTGCACGCCTTTAATCCCAGCACTCAGGAGGCAGAGGCAGTGATCTCTGTGAGTTCAAGGCCAGCCTGGTCTACAGAGCGAGTTCCAGGACAGCCAGAGCTACACTGAGAAACCCTGTCTCAAAACAAACAAACAAACAAACAAGTTGCCATGGGCTGGAGAGATGGCTCAGAGAGATGACTCAGAGGTTAAGAGCACTGACTGCTCTTCTAGAGGTCCTGAGTTCAATTCCCAGCAACCACATGGTGGCTCACAATCATCTATATAATGGTATCTGGTGCCCTCTTCTGGCATGTGGGCATATATACAGGCAGAACATTGTACACATAATAAATAAAAATAAATAAGTAAGTAAATAAATAAATACTTCTTAAAAAGTTTCCATGGTCTTGGTGTCTCTTCATAGCAATAGAAACCCAAACTAAGACACATGTCCTTAAAATAAATAAAAATAAGTAAAAATAAATTTAATAAAAAAAAAGACACTTTTTTTTGGTTTTTTGAGACAGGGTTTCTCTGTGTAGCTTTGCGCCTTTTCCTGGAACTCACTTGGTAGTCCAGGCTGGCCTCGAACTCACAGAGATCCGCCTGGCTCTGCCTCCCGAGTGCTGGGATTAAAGGTATGTGCCACCACCGCCCGGCGGACACATGTTCTTATAAAGGCCTCCAGCAGAAGACATGGCCCAGACTAGAGGTGGGTCTTCCCACCTCAAAAGATCTGGATTAAAGGTGTTTCTTCCCACCTCAAAGGTCCAGATTAGAAGTGGATCTTACCACTTCAAATTAAATAAAAATCCCTACAGGTGTGTCCCATTTTTGGTTTTTAGTTAATTCCAGATGTAGTCAAGTTGACAACTAAGAACAGCCATCACAGCTCTCCTCAGCTGTCTTGGCTTGCTCACTCTTGGGACAGTCTCTACTGTCACCGGAGTCTCTCCTGTAGCTCTGCCTGTGGCCCAGGCTGGCCTCAGAGTCACTATTAGCTGAGGATGACCTTGAACATCTGACCCTCCTTCTACCACCTCAGTGCTAGGATGACAGGATGCACAATGCCTAGGTGTGGTGGTTTGAATGAAAGTTGACTCCACAGGCTCATCTATTGGGATGCTTGATCCCTAGTTGGTGGAACTGTTTGGGGAGGATTAGGAGGTGTGGCCTTGTTGGAGGAGGTGTGTCACTAGGGGTGGGCTTTGAGGTTTCACAATCCTACACCATTCCTAGTGCCTGTGGATAAGATGTAAACCCTCAGCTACTGCTCCAAATCTATGTTTCCCTGACTGTTCCCACGTTCCCCACCATGGTCAAAGACTCTAAGCTTTTGTTTCTGTGAATGCCTAAATGAAATGCTTTCTTTTTGAAGTTGCTTTGTTCATGGTATCTCATCACAACAATTGAAAAGTAACAAAGGCACCGTTTATGTGGTGCATGAGTTCAAACCCAGGGCTTCAGCATATTAGTCAAGCGCTGACAAGCCACTGCCGCCCTGTGTTGCTTAAGAGGACACCATGTTAGATTTGGGGCCTGCCCTGATGTAGTATCATGTACCCTGAGTTTAACTGGCTCCATCTACAAAGACCAGTTCCCAGATATTCACAGGTGCATGGAGTTACAAACTCAGACTAATTGGGGGCCACACCTGAGTGCAGAGCAGGCACTGGCTGTAAGGTCGCCCTTCATTGCAGAAACACGGTTCCTGGGGTCCAGAGTGATTGACCCCTTCCTCAGAAGGGAAGCAGGCTCCTAGGTAGCACTGCTGGCTGAATTACAATCTCACCTGCCCATGTCACCTTGTCTTGTCTTAGGGCAGGAATGTGGCTCTAAGCCCCGTAGCTGCCTCCCTCTTGGCCAGTGGCATTAAGGGCACTGCCCAGGGCATTATGGGTAAATAGAAGACAGTGTTTAGGAAGGAGCCTCACCAATAACAGGGACACTTTACCACCACACCACACACCAGGAATAGGAACATGGCCCCTCACCATACCACAAAATAGGAATAGGACCACACCTCCAAGACATACCATATACGACTGTTGTGAAACTATTTGAAATAAAACCTCCATCTTGGAGGGAAACTCCTTAAGGCATAGGATGTTTTAAGACAAGGTGACAGACCATCCTACAGGGAAGCTTCCTAATCTCAGGAAGTAAACAACGTAGTAGCTTAAGGAAGTCTCTGAAACCAGAATCACTACCACCCCCTTTCCCAAGCGTATGTAAGGAACAGGGGGACTGCTGAGACCCAGACAAATAAAATGGCCTGAACGAGACAGAGAGCAGCTGAGCTGTCTAGCAGACAGCCCAAATGAACGACCTGGTAAGGACACTCTCTAACTCTCGAGCAGTCACCCATGCTGGGGTGGTGACGTAGCTGTCTGTGAGTCATTTCTGCTGCTGTAAGTGACCTGCCTCATCCTGTGCGGCTTCGGTCCTGGGACCCTGACTAGGGGCACCGAGGGGACTTAGAAAGGACAGACACACAGGCAGACAAGGCACTAGCCACACCTCTTAGCTCCACAGCCCAGACCCCGGCCTCAGTGTGTTTATCATGGACATCACAGAGGGAAGGACGCTAGCTAGGCAGGTGTTGGGAGATGAGCAGGCCCAGGCGGTCAGCAACCAGGAGGAAGAAGCAGCTGCAAGGCTAGCTTCTGTGCACATCACCACTCACTGGCACGAGACCCCCAGGAAGGCCCGACCATCCCTCTGAGCCTCACCAGCCAAGATTTTGCCACTCTCATGGGGCTGAGGCACTGGAATCCTTGGCATGGCTGTGCCCACACCCACCCTTCACTCGTTCGTGGCTTCCTCCACACAGGTCCCTATCCAGACACAAACACACACACACACACACACACACACACACACACACACACACACACACACACGGACCCAGACACACAAGCACAGAATAAATAAAAATCTTGTATTTTAATGCCATCCATCATCATAATAAATAACTCACAGTAAATGACTGCATAAAGATGGTTTACAAAGCACCTTGATGTAGTGATTTGGTTCACATAAGAGGCCACCATGTGTACACACTGACAGATACCTGTCCTGGGCAGGGGACCTCAGGTGAGGAGGACAGTGAATGGGATAGATGAGTTCTTGGATTTTTTTTTTTTTAAGCAAGCATTAATGTTTTGCCTTTTTTTTTTTTCCAACAAAAACACCAAAGTGATGACTTTCATTTAAAAACACACCATTTTAAACAGCCTTCATTGTACTTGGCACACTGTGGCCCCCTCTCAGCTCAGCTTGAACTCTGAGCTGTGGTCAGACACATCTCTGAGATGCTTGATTTTCCGCCTCTTCTCGGGCAGGGCCTGGTTCCAAACAAGAATTCAGGACCTGGGAAGTGCCAGCTCACCCCAGCCAACCTAGGCCACAAGCCCTGGGTCCTCCTGTTTCACCTGGCCTCTCTCTCTGGAAGAAATTTTCACAGCTAGGGGACAGCATGGAAGTCTCACCGCATGACCCCCTGCTCTTTCCCAGAGCCACCTGTGGGGTGCGTTTTCAGTCCCACCAGGCTGGTGAGTCTGTCGGTGACGTCAACAACAAACCCCAGTGACAGAACCTTCTAGAGACTTCAGCAGGGAGATCTTGTGCTCTGGGCAGGGTCTTCGTGGATGTTGTAGGGTTGAGTCCCTGGTTCCTGCTGCAGGGATTTCTCTGCAAAACACACGGGATTTTATCAAGTACTGAAAATGCTCCATAAGGCCGGGTCCTACCATTGGATGGGATTCGAGGAATGACCGTCACCCAGGGTATGGTGCTGAGGAAGAAAGTGTGGGCCTGCCTGGGGCCAGGGCCTTTCCGAAGTTCAGGGCTTTCCTGTTCCATATTCATCATGGAGTTTTGCTGAGGAATATTCCTGGCACTCACCAGCCTCCTCCAGAGTGGTGAAGTACTGGAGCCCCTTCAGGTCAGCGGCCAACAGTGTGCGAAGCACAGGCACCTGGGGGACAGACAGGCTTCAATCCAGGGCAGGGGATGGCTGCTCTGCAACATGGGAGAGGTAGACTAGTGGATGCCTAGTGTTCCAGTGAGATTCTGCTTTGTCTCATATGGATGGAGGAGGAGGAAGGTGGTCCTTGGGGTCCTCCTGCCAGAGGATCTTTCATAGGAACAGTCTCCATAATGATCTAAAACAACGAACCTCAGCCCCCGACTGGGCACCATGATAAAAACACCGCCTGACTGAACAGCCAACATAGCAATGAGAACATCTGCTGGCACCATTCAGCCTTGAGAGTACGCAGAGCACACCCACGGATAAATCCTCCCCTCCCACAGTCCCCTCTTCCTCCCTATAAAGCTGGTGCCCCCTGGGCACAGTCCCCACTCTGTTCTGATTAAAGCACACCCCACTTCTGCAGAGGTTGGCCTCCTCTTTCTTTTATTTTCCACATTGACTCATGAATCCTGATCTAACAACCATGAAGATGAGGGCTCACACACACACACACACACACACACACACACACACACAATGGGCACAGGTATGGCCCTGGACCAGAGCCCTGGCCTTAAGTTCCCAACACTGGGCACACAGACCACATGTGTGGGTCGGCGCTGACCACAGGAGAATGAAGTCAGATGGTCAGTAACCTGCCAAGTTACAACCACAGCAGCAGAGAGGCCTGGACATGGGTCCTTATAATGATCATTTAGGATTTTAAAATATTTTAATTTTTGTTTTTGACAGGGTCTTACTCTGTAGCCATGGCTAACCTTATACTTGAAGTGTGACCCAGGCTGGCCTTGAACTCATGTCAACACTCTTGCCTCAGCCCCCTGCATGCCAGGACTATAGGTACATGCAGTAGTATCTGTCCACAGGTGTCACAATAGCCCAGAGCCACAGGGATGGCTGTGGACCTTCCTGAGGTGGCCTGGCTCTCCTACCTGCAGGCCAACGAAGGCCAGGGAGACGCCCCGCTTCTGGAAATCCTCCAGGAGCTCACTGAGCCCCACAACCACGGTGTAGTCTATGCTGCTGACATGCGTGCACTCCAGGACCGCGCAGCGTGGTAGGGATGCTGGGGAGAGAGGCCAAGAGTCTGTTACAGCACAAGGTAAAACGAATCTCTGCAGCCACGGCGGGTGAAGCAAGGCCATCGAGAGACCGTTCCCCAGGACTGTCACTCAGCAAAGGGGCCAGGGTGGAGGCAATGGCTGTCTGGAGAAAGCTACTTCCTTCTTGGGTTCCCCTGAATGTCAATTCCCCAGGCAGAGGAACAGAAGCAAACATGGCCTTTGCTGAAACAGGCTGTGGGGGGAGTCATGGGACTGCTGCCCAGCAGGGACTGTCCGATCCGCAGCAGACACTACTCAAAGAGGCCTGAAATGTGGAAGCAGGTGACTGTCTCCCCGACCACCGAGGCTGTGCCTGAGGGTGCTGAGGCTGTGGTGTAGGTGAACGCGGGGGTGCGTGCTGATTTCTGCTCATCTTGGCTGACCCACATACCTTCCAGTGCCCGGGTCATTATTGCCTCTCGCAGGGCATCGATGGCAGGGAAGTGCAGGCCACTGGCCGGCTGCAGGACAAGAACGTGTCCTTCTGACACCTGAATGAAGGAACGCAGGAGTGAACGCCAGAGGCAGATGGGGCAGGACGAAGGGCTTAAACTCTCCCACTTTACAACTGAATTTCAGTTGCAGCGATCTGAGAAGGGCAAGCAGGTGTCTTTGCGGACAAAGGGCCATCAATCAACAAGACCCTTACATTCAGGGTCGAGGGAGAGAACAAACTCAGAGGGTCTAAGTCAGCCTCACAGTGTCTCAAGGACAAACCCAGCAGCCCCTTCTGCGTCACGTCCAAACTTGTGCAGATGTGTCCAAAAACGGTAAGACTAAACCTCAGCCAATTAGAAATACACTAATGTCCTCCCTCTTAACAACAAAAAAAAAATATAGAATATAAGAATAAAAAAATTGGCATGTGAAAAAAAGAAAGAAAGAAAAGAAACACACCAATGTAAATGCTGCCTGCTTAACCAATTATGTAGCTGACCCTGACTCCCTTAGCTGTGCTAGGGAGCCCGCACTCATCTCAAGGTCGTCGACATGATCCCACATGCATGATGGGACAATAAACGCTCTTTGTTCTGCCATACCATTAGTCTGGGGTCTTCCTTCAGCGTTCCCAAGGGCCCTACAAGGATACTCTTCTAGGCTTTGCTCATTTGCTCATGGACAGGCAGGAAGCCCTGACCCAAGCCTAGCACACGGGGTACAGCAGGAGGGGGAGCTGGCAGGGGAGCCCCCAACACCTCACACTCAGGAGAGCTAGAGATCGCTCTCCCTCAGAAGCATTGAAAACAGAAGACATCTCAACTACCTTAGCAACCCAGGGATTCCCGCCGACATGTCCCCACTCTGGGCCTACCTGGGTCTTGGGCCTAGCCACAGAGTGCAGGAGGATGAGCAAAGACACCAGGGTCCCGGCCAGGATGCCATACTGAACCTCCCAGAAGCACAGCAGGAATGTCACGCAGAGGGGCAGCAGATCCAGCCCTAGAAGTGAGGGTTCAGGGCACCACATCCCTCTCCCTGCTCCCCGAGCCCCATGGCCCAGTGGCCAGCCCTTAGCATCTCCTGGGTTCATAGTGGGGGTGAGAGCCCTAAACATCTGTTAACAGGAATAGAAGCTGTGGGCTGCAGCTGGCCCACAGACCACGGGCAGAGAATTGGGTCCTTGTCTAGCAGGTAGCCTGGCCCAGTCCCATCCCTCCAGCCTCTGTGAGCAAGTAGGCATGGGGAGGAGCTTGTCAGAGAACCCAGAGAAAAGGGACAAAGAGAAGGAAGGTGTGTGTGTGTGTGTGTGTGTGTGTGTCTGTGTGTGTGTGTGTGTGTGTCTGTGTGTGTCTGTGTGTAGATATGTCTATGTCTGTGTGTCTGTGTATGTATGTATGTGTGATATGTCTGTGTGTGTGTGTGTCTGTGTATGTAGGTATGTGTGATATGTCTCTGTGTGTGTGTGTAGATATGTCTATGTCTGTGTGTCTGTGTATGTATGTATGTGTGATGTCTCTGTGTGTGTGTGTGTGTGTGTGTGTGTAGATATGTCTATGTCTTTGTGTCTGTGTATGTATGTATGTGTGATATGTCTCTGTGTGTGTGTCTGTGTGTAGATATGTCTATGTCTGTGTGTCTGTGTATGTATGTATGTGTGATATGTCTCTGTGTGTGTGTGTCTGTGTATGTAGGTATGTGTGATATGTCTCTGTGTGTGTGTCTGTGTGTGTGTGTAGATATGTCTATGTCTGTGTGTCTGTGTGTGTATGTATGTGTGATATGTCTCTGTGTGTGTGTGTGTGTGTCTGTGTGTAGATATGTCTATGTCTGTGTGTCTGTGTATGTATGTATGTGTGATATGTCTCTGTGTGTGTGTGTCTGTGTGTGTGTGTAGATATGTCTATGTCTGTGTGTCTGTGTGTGTATGTATGTGTGATATGTCTCTGTGTGTGTGTGTGTCTGTGTGTAGATATGTCTATGTCTGTGTGTCTGTGTATGTATGTATGTGTGATATGTCTGTGTGTGTGTGTGTCTGTGTGTCTGTGTGTGTGTGTAGATATGTCTATGTCTGTGTGTCTGTGTGTGATATGTCTCTGTGTGTGTGTGTCTTGTGACTCCCAGGATTCTCAGAGGACTCCTTGGCTGATGTAGTGTCCTGGGTTCAAAATACTTTGACTCAGCCTGGGATTCTACTTCTGAGGCAGGAACCCAGACATGCCCAGTCTCCATGGAGCCCCAGCTTCCTCTGGAAGCATCTATTATATCTCCCCCACACACACATACAGTAATACACTTCAAGGCTGTCCTAAAGATGAAATGTGATGACACACAGAAAGACTGAGACAGAACAAGTGACCATGCCTACATCTGGCAACTGTGGCCAACGAGGAAGAAGGGGAGGCAGAAAGGCTGCTGTGGGGTTGGGCAGTCACCCACCTACCCACCCACAGGAAGATGGGAGGAGAGGGAGGGGACAGAATGGGAGACCCCATTCTCCACTGAGCTCAGCTCTGCACGGACCAAAGTCCAGCTTCCCCAAGCAGATACCCTGAGTGACAATTGTATTTCCTAGCTTTTTGTGTGTCCTTTCCTAAGTTTACCACGAGGCCCCTGCTCTAGCCCAAAGTAGGGCTGCAGGCTGAGAGGGGTAATAAAAGATGCCCTTGGCATTCAGACACCGTGTCAGAGGTTGCCTGCCTTGAATGCGCACATACGTACTCTTAACACGCCAGAGCGTCCTGAGGATCTCGGCATCAAAGAGCGGGGCCACAGCCGTGATGATGACGGCGGCCAGTGCAGACTTGGGGATGTAGTAGAAGAGTGAGGTCAAGTAGTCCAGGGACAGCAGCACCAGCACACCTGAGGGGAGAGGGGTTCCCACCCGGCACCCACAAAACGAAGTTGAGGGACGGAGGGGCCTGGTGTCCAGTGGGACACAGCTGTGGACCCACACAGACTTGGTATGAATGCTCTACAACATTAAGAAAATTATGGGCTCCTTCCCCTCTCCACCATGCCCATGCATGGACCCAAGGTAAAGAAGGGGGGGACTCACCAGTCACCAGGCCCCCTGCCGGGGTACACACTCCAGACTGGGCATTCACAGCTGTCCTGGAAGACAACAGGGAGAAACCTGTCCATCTCCAGTGGCTGAGGGGAGCTGTCTGGCCTCATACTGGGGCTGACCTTCCAGTCAGATCTGAGATGGGAGTGAGGGCAGGCAGAGCTGACAACAGGTGATTGCAGCCGCAGGGCACTGGGCACAATCTCTATGGTTGTCTACATTTTTTTTTCCCCAAGACAAGGTTTCTCTGGGTAGCTTTGAAGCCTGTCCTGGAACTTACCCTGTAGACCAGGCTGGTGTTGAACTCCCAGAGATCTACCTGCCTCTGCCTCCTGAGTGCTGGAGTTAAATGCAGGTGCCACCACCGCCCAGCTATCCTTTGACAGTTTTATAAAAGTTTATCTTGACATCATCCCCCATTCTTCTCTCTCATGTCCCTTCCACTTCCTCTTTTTCTTCCTAACACGTCCCCCTTCTTACTCATGCCTTGTTTGGACGGCCCCTGAGTTTAACTAGGGCCCCCTGCATAAGCCTGGACGCGGAGCACAGGCAACTCACCACAGGCCACACTGGGTGGGTGGGCTGCCTTGCTTTCCCTAATACATGTGTCTATTAAGTATGAAGACACCAACCAAGAACCCCAATTCCTTTAAGATCTCCCGTCTTCTGCCTCCTACATCCTAAGTTCCTGCTGAGGAAGGCACAGTTCCCCTTTCAGCCATGGGGCTTCCCCTCCCGTCTTCCAGACTCCAGGGAAGACGGCCTCCAAACCTGACTCATCAGGGCAGACTGAGAACTTCCTGTACCCATTTCTTTCTTCCTCTCCTTTCTTTCTTTCTTTCTTTCTTTCTTTCTTTCTTTCTTTCTTTCTTTCTTTCTTTCTTTCTTTCCTTCTTTCCTTCCTTCCTTCCTTCCTTCCTTCCTTCCTTCCTTCCTTCCTTCCTTCTCTCTCTCTCTCTCTCTCTCTCTTTCTCTTTTTAACAGTCTCGCCCCATATAGACCTGGCTATCCTGGAACTCACTATGTAGACCAGACTGGCCTTGACCTCACTATATAGATTCAGCTTCCGCTGCTTCCCAAGTGCTGGGACTAATTGTGTGTGCCACAATGCCAGGCTCTCTCCCTACTTTCTTTTGGAATTAACTCAGGTACCAGCATGCCTGGATGGGCCAGGGACTTCTACCACTAAATGCAGGGCAGGGATGCCAGGAGCTATTCTGAAGGGCAGCTGTAACCTTCCTTGCTGTGGACACGGTCACAGCTTTCCAAAGGTCTTTAGAATGCCTGGGGGACTAATAGGGAGAAGGAAGAAATAGTCAAATGTGGTTAAGGGTGTGGCAGGGGGGAAAAGTGGTCTTTGGCCCCTGTGGACCCTAAGTGTACAGAGAAGAAAGAACATGGCCACTCACCGCCCAAAGCTGCCAGTGACTGGGTAAGACGAGACCAGGGAGCCCAGCATATTGGAGAAGCCTGAGGAGAGAACAGAGGTTTCCCTGAGGAGAGCAGGAACATCAGACAGAAGGAAAAACGGCAGGAGGAGGAGGGGGTCAAATGCAGAACTACACAAGGGAAGGATGGAGGGAAGGACTTGGGATCCCTCCCCCACTTTCTTCTAGGAAAGGGAACCAGATCTTTATCACACTCATCTGTGCTGGAGTCTAGGGTTTTGTTTTTTGTTTGTTTGTTTGTTTGTTTTGTTTTGTTTTGTTTTTTGAGACAGGGTTTCTCTGTGTAGCTTTGGAGCCTTTCCTGGAACTCACTCTGTAGCCCAGGCTGGCCTCGAACTCACAGAGATTCACCTGCCTCTACCTCCCGAGATTAAAGGCATGCACCATCACCACCCTGTGGAGTCTAGTTTAACTCCCACCTCAAATTCTAGGTTTTTGCTTTTTTTTTTTCCCCCTTGAGACAGGGTTTCTCCTTATAACAGCCCTGCCTGTCCTGGAACTCGATCTGTAGACCAGGCTGGCCTCAAACTCACAGAGATCCACCTGCCTCTGCCTCCTAAGTGCTGGGATTAAAGGTGTCCACCACCACTGCCTGGCCAGCCCCCAGTTTTTGCTTATTGAGACAAGGTCTCATGTATCCCAGGCTGGCCATGAACTTGATATGTAGTTGAGAATGAACCTGTGAGTCTTCTGTCTCTACTTCCTGGGTGATGAAATCACAGGTTTGGACCACCATGTCCCATCTGTTCTAGGTTTAAAGTAGAGCTGGCTCAGGCCTTGCCATATGAAGCCTCATGACACCTTAGAGATAGTATCAGTAACTACGGAGAAGACATCTACCTGAGTACCTATAACATGGCTGTTGTGAATGCCAAGTCAAGCTGAGGGACCGAAGGTCAAGGTCGGCAAGGTGCCTCCCCCAGGTAACACTACAGACCATATCACATAGCCTTGCTGCACCAAGGAAATAAGATCTTGGCCCACACTTACCACACTCTGCCTACCCAACATCCATCCCACCCATGAACCTTTACAATGACCTACAAGGCAACTACAGGTTCAAGGCCTGCTCCTGGAACTTCCCTAGCACTAAATGTAAGGAAGCCAGTCGCCATGCCCAACTTAGACACAAAGCACGGGCAACTGATCAGTGGCCACACCACTGAAAATGACTCTCTGTCCCCAGCAGCCATTTGCTGCCAACAGCTCCTCTGCCAGGGTGGGTAGGCTGTCTTAAAACACTAATCAGAGACCCCAATTCTTTTACGATCACCCCTCTTCTGTCCCTACATCCACAGTTAGGCTGGGCTGACCAAGGGTCACTAGAAGGCGTGGTAGACTCACAGAAGAATGAGAAAAAGCCCCAAAGACTGGGGATTACTGAAGTACCAGCCCCTCTGGGGTCCAGAGCCATGCTCAGGCCCTTGAGAGTAAGGAGGGGCAGGGACAGCAGAAGGCTTGGTAGAGTCTGGACAGTGTTGCTGGAGATTTGTTAGAACTGACATTCCGAAACTGCTAATAAAGTAAAACCTTGCCAATAAAGTTAAACATTGGCAAAGAGCTTGCAGTAATTTTTTTGAGAGAGATTAGCAACAAATATCCCCACAACAAGAGACTTCAGTGTATAAAATGAATTAATTGGATCCTTCCTAACATTGTACAAGGAACATCAGCTTCTGGAGCCCCTACCTTCTATACTGATGTAAATAAATCAGGAAAGACAGGTTATAAGTCAGGAAAAATAAATAAAATGGCTCAAACCCCTTATGATTCCATTCAAAAGTCAAAATTATACTCTATTTTTATGGTATTAGTAGATTTTCCAGAACCTCTTAACATAGTTACTGATTCTTAATATACATAAAGAGTTGTTTTACATATTGAAATGATAAACTTATTCCAGATGATTCAGAATTAACTTTGTTATTTATTCAACTACAAGTAACCAGAAATAGAAATCATTCCTTATATATAACATATATCAGATCCAATACAGGCCTACCAGGCCCTTTAGCACAAGGTAATGATGAAATTTATCAGCTATTGATAGGAAATGTGCTAGAAGCCTCAGAATTTCATAAGAAACATCATGTTAATAGCAAAAGTTTGAAGATTTTTCTATCACTTGGCAACAAGCCAAGGAAATTATAAAGAAATGTCCTACTTATTCTTTATATAATCAAACTCCATTATCTGCAGAAGTAACCCAAAAGTTACTCAAAGAAATTAAATTTGACAAATGGATATGTTTCATTTTGCAGAATTTGAAAAATTAAAATATGTCAGGTGGTGGTGGCTCATGCCTTTAATCCCAGCACTCAGGAGGCAAAGCCAGCCAGATTTCTGTGAGTTCGAGGCCAGCCTGGTCTACAGAGCAAGATACAGGATAGGCACCAAAGCTACAGAGAAAACCTGTCTTGGAAAAAATCAAAAAAAAAAAAAAAAAAGAAAGAAAGAAAGAAAGAAAAATTAAATATGTGCACCATACCATAGATTTCAGGGGGAACTGCTTTGAGTTCCAAAAAGGCTGATATGTATAGGTATGCCACACAATCCTACAGGACAAACAGTTATAAAATGATCTAACCGCACTTTAAAAGATATGCTTAATAAATTTATTAACTTTAAATTTTTAAAATGCTAATGAGAAAGGAATGGCAGCTGCAGAGAGACATTAAATAGAAAAAAACTGCTGAATTAAATCAGCCTGTGTACTTCAAAGACATGTTGAACTCAGAATGGAAACCACAATATGTGTTATGTTGGGGAAGATGTTTTGCTTTTGTTTCCACAGGAGAAGAAAAGCTATGGATACCATCAAGATTTTTGATGAAGATTAGACTTAAATAGGAGAGACCTCTTGTTTAGGAGAGGTGATAGTTCATCAAACAGCATGACCACTCCATCTAAACTAACTCTAAGGCTAACAAATGCCTTTCATTTGACCAGATATAACCTGCCCAAAAGGGGAAATTCCCCAAAGTCAGGGTTGGGGAAGGGTTTTGTTTTTGTCTTTCCAGGAGAACAAAAGCATCCAACTAAGGAATCTGAAGACCACTGGACAAAGGAGACATCGAAAGAAAAAGGACAAATCATCCAGAGACAATGTCCCAAGAAAAAGAGTAAATTGGCCTAATGGTATAGCACCTTTCCAACAGGATAAATCTTCCCAAATGTTTGTTTCTGCTGTTCTCTATAGACATAAGAGGCAAATGGTCTTTTTGTGGTCCCAATTCAATTAAAAATTAAAGCTGGCTTTGGAGTTGGAGCACGGCTCTCTCCTTCTCTAAACCCAAGCATGCCTGTTAAAGAAAAATCCAAAAATCTCTGTCTCATGTCAGAAGAGCCACTTGGTGTGGGACAGAAGAAAAACCAAAATTAAGGGACTATTCGATTGTCACTGATCTCATAATCCTTTCATCTAATTTTGACTCTTTAAAACTTTTCTTAAGTTATAAATATTATCTCAAAAATTCTAAGATAATATATATATATAATAAATAAATATATAAATATATATTTAAGCTTTCTGTCATGATATTAATGGTCATACAGAGTACTAATTCTAGAAATTGGCTTCATCTAGCTTCCTGTACCTGATTTTGGGCTTGAGTCTGAAACAGGTAACTAGGAACTAAGTTTGTGTACCCTGGATGTACATAACAGATTGTGGTCCTTTAACTTCTTAGAGATCTGCTGCATATGACTTATTTAAAATGTTTAAGTTTTCTGCAGTGAACCATTCCTGGCAGTGACCTTTGAGGTCTCTAAAAAGATGTTGGTGAAAGACCCTAGCCCTTCAGGCTTACACCCCCAAGCCTCAGAAAGAGAGAAACTTCAAGCACCAGGAAATGAGAAACTAAAAATCTAGTTCCCAGGGCAACCTGACTCAGCCACTACTCAATCACCCCTGTAACAATATAACAATGTAAAGAGATTTCTGTTAAGAGGTGTGCTCAACTGTGACTGGGAAAGTTGCAAATGTTCCAGGGAGGACCACCATGACCTGTATGCACTCCCACCCTGATACCCCCCTTGAGGTTTCAAGAAAAATGTGCACACTGATGTAACTGTATCCCCCTCTGTGATCACTCTGTAACCAGACAATGATTTTATGAAATTAGCTTCTAGACATAAATCAATCGAAGTGACATTGTATGGGAATTGTAATCTTATGGCTTTTGTGGGTTTTTCCTTTAAAAGCCCTTATGGGGCTGCAGTAAGTTGCGACTCTTCCTCTTGGGAGCAGAGTTTGCCCATCTGTACAGATGTTTCTTCAATAAATTCCTCGTGCTATTGCATCAACTGGACTGGAGTCTGGGTTCTTGGAGCGCCCACTTGAGACCCTAAACTTTGGGGTCCAACATTGGGACCCTGCAACAATGAATCCACCTAGATTGTGGTAATGCCACTAAGCTGACAGACACCATCCAAAGATCAGAGTTGGACTACAAACTGCTCACTACAATTTCAAGGCGGTTAGCTAGGATGGTCCAGCCTTGTAGACTACTCCAGCCCTGCACTTTCCCATCACATGGAGACTGGACAACAGCTAGCTCTCCCAGGACTTGATCATTATCCCAATTTTCTCAGGGTCTCCCAAAGATGCCATCACCCCCAGACAATAGGAAGTAATTTTAATAACACAATGCCCACATTCACAATAGGTGGGGTGGGTGGTTTTTTGGTCATTCAGTGGATTATGGATTTTTATCATCATTTGGGGGGGGGTTGGTGAATGTGGTGATACACTATGTACCCTAATAAAATTTGCCTGAAGGTTGGAGAACAGAACAAGCCACTCGATTAAACACAGGCCAGGCAGTGGCAGCACACACCTTTAATCCTAGCACTCGGGAAGCAGAGATCTGTCTGGATCTGAGAGTTCAAAGCCATTCTGGACTACATGAGATTAACTCAGTCTAAGATAGAAACAGAGCCAGGCAGTGGTGGCACACAACTTTAATCCTAATACTTGGGAGTCACACGCCTTTAATCTCAGCACTTGAGATCTCATGCCTTTGTTTGAAAAGCACACACACCTTTAATCTCAACACTAAGAAGGAAGTAATATGGCTGGGTGGAGAAAGGTATATAAGGTGTAAGGAGACAGGAACTAAAGTCCTTTTGGCTGAGAGCCTTTCAGTTGAGGACTCAGAGGCATTCAACAGAGGATTCACAAAGTTGGCCAGGTGAGAAGTGGTAGTGGCTTGTTCCTTTGTCTCTCTGATCTTTCAGCATTTACCCCAATATCTAGCTCTGGGTTTTTATTATAACACCATTTAAGTTTCGTGTAACACATGACAAGTTGTTATTGGTCATGGTCAGGGAGGAAACTAAACAAAAGAGACTAGATCCAGGGATCTCATTCTGAAAAGAAAAAAGGGGATAGATTGACCTGCTTCTGCCTTCCAAATGCTGGGATTAAAGGTGTGCACCACCACATCTGGCAGAATCTATTTTTTAAAAAAGCAACTACTAGTCTCAAATATTTTACATTGCTATGGATTTCTGTATATTGATACAAATTTAAGGCTATTTTTGTTAGAACATACTGTATATATGTTTCTACTCTTGTTTAAGGTATTGTACCTATACAGCTCATTTAAAAATGTAATGAAGAGCTCTAGTCCTTGAAAGCTACTTAGGATAATAAAGAAATGTAGGTTATTAGTTAGTCATCTATAACAATTAAATTTGTGGCCATGTCAGGTATGTTTTCAAGGTCAAACAGACACAGTGTAGATAGATAGATGGTCTCCAAACACTTCAGAGACCTACAGACTATGACATGTAAGAGGTTTTCATAACCTGAGGCTTCTCATGACTTGAGACACAACGGCTCCTGGCTGCACCAATCTACTTCATAAAAGGACGGTGAATATCGAAGAACCTCCATATGGAGTTTGCCTCATTGTGGCAAAGGTAGCCACTGGGCAAAGACACTGCCCTCGCCTCAACTGCTGACAGCATGCTGTCCAAACTGGACAAGCAGAACACAAAAGAAAGCGACTGCCAAACTTAGCCAAGACAAGGTAGGGCAGTCCTTCAAAAATTCCTGCTTCACAATAGTATGTCAGGTACTCTAGGCCCATAGGCTGAGGATGGATGCCCCAATGTTGCAGAGGAACCTTGGGTGTCTGTCCAGCCAGCCAGCTGTCTCTGTCACTTCTTAGTTTTGGAAGTTGTTTACTCTGCACTTCCTGTTTAATCAGCTAATATTTAATCCTTGTCAGGATTTTGATGATGTTGAAGACTAGATAGTTATAGTTTCATTTCTCCTTGTTACTAAATACAGAAAAGAAACTCACAAAAGAGGTGTAAAGTGTATAATGTTGAGAGACATAAAAGCTTAAGTTGTTTATCTAAGAAAATATTTTAAGGTATAAAAAGATTTTTTTAGGCTAGTAATACAAGTTATGATAGAAAATGGTTTAGGTATAAAACTGTATAAAACTGACTCTCCAAGATAGGATAGATAATGTAGTATTTTCTCTGAATTTGCCAAATACAAATGGACTGAACATTTTGAATGTATTTCTTACTTGATAATTGTTCATACTGTATATAGTTTTACTTTTTAAAGATTAAAACTTTCCCTTTTTATTTAGACAATACTTGATAATTGCTCTTTTTTTAAAAAAAAAAGATTTACTTATTTATGTATACAGTATTTTGCCTGCATGTGATCCTGCAGGCCAGAAGAGGGCACCAGATCTCATTACAAGTGGTTGTGAGCCACCATGTGGTTGCTGGGAATTGAACTCAGGCCCTCTGGAAGAGCAGTGCTCTTAACCACTGAGCCATCTCTCCAGCCCCGATAATTGCTCTTATTATATAAAGTTTTACTTTGTTAAGCTTAAAACCTTCCATTTTTATTTAGACAATACCTGATAACTGTTCTTATTGTATATAGTTTTACTGTGTTAGAGTTAAACCTTTTCCTTTTTATTTAGACAAAAAGGGGGAAATGTTACGGAATATTTGTTTACACTGTGTGAAGCTGTGTCACTGTGATTGATTTAATAAAGAGCTGAATAGCCAATAAACTAGGCAGGAAGAGAATGGGCGCGACTCCAGGCAGAGAGGGATTTGGGATGAATCCAGGTGCTTGAGCAACACCAGCGAGACAATGAAGAAGTTAGGTGTATAGTACCAAGAGAGAACTGAGCCACGTGGCGGAATGTAGATTAATAGAAACAAGGTTAACTTAAGTTATAAGATCTAGTTAGGAAAAAGCCTAAGCTAAGGCCAAGGTTTCATAATTAACAATAAGTCTCCATGTTGTTACTTGTGAGCTGGCAGCCCAAAGGGAAGTCCGACTACAGGACAGTGACCAAAGGCTACACAGGTCCACACTGACCCATGGTGGTCAGGGATTACCTTGGGAGGCAGAGCCAGGTGGATCTCTGTGAGTTCAAGGCCAGGCTGGTCTACAGAGCGAGTTCCAGGAAAGACCCAAAGCTACACAGAGAAACCCTGTCTCAAAAAACCAAAAAAAAAAAAAAAAAAAAAACCGGGCGGTGGTGGCGCACGCCTTTAATCCCAGCACTCGGGAGGCAGAGCCAGGCGGATCTTTGTGAGTTCGAGGCCAGCCTGGACTACCAAGTGAGTTCCAGGAAAGGCGCAAAGCTACACAGAAAAACCCTGTCTCGAAAAAAAAAAACAAACAAACAAACAAAAAAAAACCAGCCCCAGTACTTTCCAGGCTCACATGGGCATTCACCAGGTAGGAAAGCCCAGGTTCCACAACATATTAAAAACAGTTCCATTATCAAATCTAAGATTCTCAGTGAGGGGCTGAAGCAATGGTTCAGTTAAGAGCACTGATGCTCTTGCAGAGGACCCAGCTCCTGTGTCCAGCACCTGCATGGTGGCTCACAACTGTTTGTAACTCCAGTTCCAGTGAAATTATGCCTTCTTCTGACCTCCACTGTATACACACACACACACACACACACACACACTGCCAACACATAAAAATAAATGAATCTTTAAAACAGAAAGATTTTTAGTGTTGTTTCAAAATACATCAGTACATATGTTAGTTTGTAGGGACAAAAGAAAGTGCAATTAATCCTGACCCAGACCCTAGTGGACCACCTGAGTCTTCACTGACCCATGTGTCCTTGCCTGGAGAGGAACACATTGGGAAAAGATGGAGGCACTGTCCTGGGCCCCATTACCACATGTTCTTCCAGGGAAAGGCATTCAAGAGACTCACCTGTGGGTTGGCGCTGCACCCTCCAGCTCCCTCCCCAGCACAGGACAAGGCTATAGTTTAGGCAGGCCCAGCAGGCACTTGGCCAGCAGAGGAACAGACCACAGGAGAGGGATGGAACTGACTGGACACCTGAGGACAGGTCCAAGCTGAGATTTCAAAGTCCTCTCTCCCCCACAAACATCAAACCTGATACAATCGGACAGACACAGAGGCACTGGGACCAGAAGGGGTCTTACCGATGGCCAGCAGCTCCTGGTTGGCATCAATGCGGTAGTTATTCTGAGAGGCTGAAGAGAAAGGACAGCACAAATGTTGTCACTGATGTACAAGAACAAGTGATGTGTGGTACCAAGTTGAGCAACTTAGTTTACACACATAAAACATACACAAACTGAACACACTTGATCTAAGAAATCCTTAAAAATCCAAAAGCAGTAGCTAGAGAGATGGTTCAGTGGTTGAGAACACTTGCTGCTCTCACATAAGGGAGGGGTTCGGTTTCAAGTACCACATGGTGGCTCACAGCTGTCTATAACTCTAGTTCAAGGGGTCCAATGCCCTCTTCTGGCCTCCACAGGCACAACACACATGTGGTGCACATACATACATATAGACACTCATACATACATAAAAATGAATTAAAATTTGGAGGGGAAGGTTGAAACAGGATATTACTGTGTGACTCTAGCTGGCCTGTAACTCCCTATAAATTCCAGGCTGGCCTTGAACTCACAAAGATCTGTCTGCCTCTATCTCTGGGTGCTGGGGTAAAAGTGGTAGACTACCACGCCCAGCAAATAAGCAAATCTTAAAGAGGGTCTGATTGGGGTCAGGGACAAAGTGCTGGAATGCTGGAGAAGGGATCTGTTCCAGGAACAACCAGGACCAGGCAGGAAGCATGAATACAGAGTTTTGAAAGCATGTATTATTTTTGCTGCGAATGATGATGGGAATGGTGTGTGTTGCTGGGGAAAGAACCCGTACCAGACATGTTAGCCAAATGCTGTAGCACTGACCCCCACTCCAAGCCCTGGTTTTAGTCTTCAGAATCATCCTGTCCCCATATTGAAGAGGACCTGCTGTGGTTATGCATTGGAACCCAGACACAGATAAGACAGAGCTAGAAGAACTGCTGTCTCTGGTGGGGCGAGTGAGGGATTTCAGAGCCCCGCCTTAGAAAGGTAAGGCCCTGGTACAAACCAAGCCAGAGGGAGAAAACACGGGGTCAAAGTTTTAGGAATTTAGTGAGCCCAGTACTAAAGTTTAAAGTTCAGCCTTGCTTACTGATTAAATTAAAACTTTTCAGCTGGATGTGGTGGCTCATTTTAATCCTAGCACTCAGGGGACAGGCAGGCAGATCTCTGTGAGTTCAAAGCCAGTCTGGTCTAGCAGTGACTTCCAGGCCAGTCAAGGCTACATAGTGTGGCCTGGTATAAAAAACAAACAAATGAATGAACAAATTTTGGGGCTGGAATGACGTCCCAGGGTTGAAAGAGCTTATTGCTCTTGCAGAGGACCCAAGTTCAGGCTCACCACCACCTGCAACTCCAGTTTTAGGGGATCTGACACATTCTGGCCTCTGCAGGCATCTGAACTCACGTGTGTGTGTGTGTGTGTGTGTGTGTGTGTGTGTGTGTGTGTGTGTGTGTGTGTGTAGGAGCATCCACAACCCAGAAATCAGCAAGGGCTCCATACTAGGACTCATGTACCCACACAGGCTAGGCTGTCAGTATGTTAACATCACATCCTGATGAGGTTCCTCACTACAGAGTCCTTCTTACAGTGTGCTGGGTGTCCTTCGTCTGGACTCTGGGAGCTAGGAGTGCTGCATACTTGCACAGACTGCATTCTGAGAGCAGCTGGGCCATGCTGGCTCCCTCTCAGTCTGTGAAGCCTTCTGGATTTTAGGTTACAGATGTTCCTTAACCCTACCCCCACCCCACTCCAATTCATTTTAAAACATGAGCATGTATTCCTTGTATTAAAATTCTAATTTTAAAAATTAGAACAGGCAAACACCCCAGGAAGCAGGAGCCTGGTGTGTGTGTGTGTGTGTGTGTGTGTGTGTGTGTGTGTGTGTGTGTGTGTGTTGGGGGAGTTATAGGCAGTGGGCATCTCACCAAAGGATTTGGCCATGGCGATGCTCTCCAGGAGGCCCACCAGAGGTATCACAGCCAGTCCAGCCCCCATGTCCTGAGAGGAGAGAGGGACAATGAGTAATCTTCCTGTGCTCAGGGAGGGTCTTTCCAAGCAGGGACCCACTGCAGCAGGATGGTCCTTCTTGGTGGCTAATGGAGGCAAACATTGCCCAAGCTGCAGCAGTATGAATTTACACTGGAGAGGAAATACCACCTCATCATGAAAAGAGAGGCATGAAGAGGAATCCAGCAAATGCATCCTTTCCCAGTGTCCAACGGAGGGAGGGGTTCGAGGCAGAAAGACATGTGTCCTATTTGGTTTCTTCTCCACTTTCCTGAGACACCCCATCTTGAGGACCCGCCCCAGGGGCCATCTCAGCCTCTGTCATGCTACTGGTTTTGCGTCTGCTCACCTGCACCATCTCAGAGAATGAGATAGTCTTATTGTCTGTGGTCACTGAGAAGGGTGGGGCCCGCACAGGAGGGAGCCCCTTGGCTATCTTCCCAGTCAGAACAAAAGGATGGTGTCCTGTCACTTCGAAGGAGTAAGCAATCAGGGCTGCAAAGGAGACCACCAAGGCATTGCGAGCTGGGACAGATGGGAGAGAGATTGGTGAGATGCAGTCTTGTTTGCTTTTGAAGCTTTATTTATTATTTTATGTGTATAAGTGTTTTGTCTGCATGCATGTGTATGTATCCTGTGCATGACGGGTGCCTGAAGAGATCAGAAGAGGTCAGTAGATCGCCTCGAGCTGTAGTTATAGTTCCGAACTGCTATGTAGCTGCTGGGAATTGAACACAGACCTCTGCAAGAACAGCAAGTGCTCTTCACCACTGAGCCATCTCTCCTGCCCCAAGACACAGTCTTAATGAGAAAAGGAAGGTAACTGAGGCACCACATCTCACAGTCAGGGGACACTACCCTTCCACAACCCCCCACTGCAGCCTGGAAGACTCAGCAGGCATGGGCACGTGGCCTTGTGAAACACACACCAGTGGGAGGTGACAGGAAGTAATGAAGCCTATTGTATGATGTAATGAAGGCCCCTTGATAGCCTTCTCCCAGAGTTCCAGAAGAGACGCTACCAGTGGCAGATTAATTAATCTGAGGGATACACTAAAAATCTATGTATACAAAACTCTTAATCCATTCACTTTATTCTTCTGAGTCAGTTCTCTCTCTACACAGCTTCTACTCTGCTCTCTCAGTTAGCTCCTTTCTTGCCGGATTTCTCTCTTCACTTTTCTGCTGTCCCCTCGAAGTGCCATCTTAACTCCTTCCTCTTTGTCCAGCCCCATCTAGGTTCTCATCCGTCTAGTTCTTTCCCATCTTAGCTGCTCTCCCGACTCCTCCTTTCTCATCTTGTTCTTCCCCACCTGGCTCTTCCTCATCTTCCATCTCATTCTTCTAGTTCTCTCCTCGAGTCCTCCAATCTAGTTCTCCTCAAGTCTCCGAGGTTTACAGTTATATACCCACGCAGTAGCAATGCTCTGGCTAAGGCAGGGTCACCAGGCTTGAATCCCCTCATGGTCGGAAGGAGGGCAATAAGATCCACACAAAGAGCAGTAATAGACAGACATCATCTGCAACCCAAAAGGGAAGTGACTAATGGGGGCCAGAATCAACTGAGGGCTAAATTCGGTTAATATCTGAGCCAAGGGGATTTTATGTGCTCAAACTACATTCTTAGGAGTGGTTAGGTAAGGTGTTGGAGTCTGAAAGTGACAATAAAACTGTCTTATTTTCCTTTGGCCCCTTATCTGCCCAAGCTATCTCGCCTGCTGCCATTTTTTGTGTTTTTTTTTCTGGCAGGGTGGGGGTGGGGGGTGTAGTTAGGTAACCTGCTTCACAGCTTGATGTACCTGTAAGTAGAAACCCTTTAGTGCTGAGTTAATTGCTAAAGGTCAGTAAGTTAAAAAGTTAAAGGTCAAGCCCGTCTCAGGAAAAAAAACCAAAACAAACAAGAACACTGGGGGACGACCACAGTGACCGCTGATGTCCCCGACGGCAAAACCATTTAAGTCTGAAAACTATCTGCTGCTGTACGTCCTCAGCTCAGCTCTGGGCTGGAAGCGCCTATGCCCACAGCACCAACTCTGTGGAGCCGGCTCCTCTGCCAACAGGTCTCCTTACCTGTTGTGACAGTCCACACCAGCCCACGGCTGAACTTGACACCAAGGGGCGTCTGAGGGTGGGGAGGAGGCATGTGTTCCCGCATCAGCTTCAGCACAATCAGCAGCACCACGCAGGCCAGCCCCAGGACGGCGTCGCCCACCCTGCGGACAGAGGGCCAGTCAGCACCTGACTCTGTGCCTTGAGGGCTGCTGGGGCTATTCTTCCCTTTTATTGAGATAGGGTCTCTCTACACAGCTAAAGCCGTCCTTGAACTTGTAATCCTCCTGCCTCAGCATTCCAAATGCCAGGATCACAGTCAAGAGTATAGCTCTCAGCGGTAGCTTTTGCTGCAAGGCTCTCCCTGCCCTTTCCACCTTCTCCTGAATAACCTACACCTCTGTTCTACTTCAGAACCTCTCCGGCCTCTGAAGGACACACCCTTCGGAGGGCTGGGAAGTGAGAGGCCCCTCATCACCATGGCACGGGGATTACTGGCCCAGTTTTCAGTCACGTGTCCTCTGGCCTATAGATGCTTAGTCTGTTCCCAAGAGGTTTGGAGGGCTTGGGATGGCACGGTCAGTGACTCCCACTATAGCACTGTCTGTAAGGGGCTGGACTGGCCAATCTCACTCCCTTGCCCCCACCAGGGCAGAAAGGAAGCATCCTACCACTGGCTTCAGACCCTAGGGAGCAGCAGCAGACTGTCCTCTGCTCGGGTGGCTCCCCAAATAATTTCTGGCAAAAGAGGCAGGCCGTTCATCCTGGTTTCCACTGGGCTGCTGGGGTGCGTATCTAACTCTCTGAAGGATAGGCCCCCTATGGGCGCCCCAGGTCTCTCCGTGGCTCCCTGGCCTGCCTGCTGGCCCTGTTCTCTGCCTCACTAAGAACTTTGGGAGTGAGACACTGACAGAGAAGGCTCTAGTCTGTCCACACTGCCCAGGTCTTGCTAAAATGCTGCCGACTCTGGGTCTGGCCCGGCCCGGCAGACCTGGTGTCTGCAGGTCTAACTTGGGACAGCACTGCTCCCAAGGGCGCCTGTGAGACAGAAAAAATGTCGCCTGGATGGGGCTGAGGTCAGGAAGGACAAAAGCCGACAGTACCTGGTCTCTCCGATGTGGAGGAAGGTCTGATACACCTGGAGGAAGAACTGCCGGGGGATGTTCCGCAATCCCAGCAGGTTCTGTTCAAACAGAGGAGCCATCAGACAACCGCCCACCAGCAGCCAGCGGCTCACACTTGCCCCATCAGAGGCCCCGGAAGTCCCTCGCTGGACCCCAATCCCCAAGGCCATGCTGCTCAGGGCTCCCAGGAGACCCCAAGGCAGGAGAGTGGAGTTATCTTAATAAAGACGAAAAAACAGTTTGGGACACCCCCAAGCAGGGAAACCAGTTCTACAGCTGTGTGGTCAGGAGTCCCGGGCTGCCCCTAAGCACCTGTAGACACTGGTCCAAAGTCATGTCCGTCACTCCTAGCACCACCCCCACCAACCAGAAGGAAAAATCACACCCACCACAAGACTACACATGGGCAGGCAGGGCTCCACGGGAGCCGGGCGCTGCCTGCCTTCAGGAGAGGGGGCTCTATTCCCTGGTTTTGTCCTTTATCACTGGAGGTCCAGTAGGGGCTGTGACAAGCTGTGACAGCCTGACACCTGCTGCAAACACTGGGGTGTGGGAACTCTGGGTAAGCAAACACAGATGCATTCTGGGTCTCAGGGGACTCCTGTTCTAGCCATGTCAGAGTGCTGCAGGTCACGATCTAATCAAGTTTTTAAAATCTGGTGGGCAGCTAGGATTGCAAAACAGGGGGGGCAGAGAAGGAGAAACCACTCAATTCTCACGAGGAAAGGGAGGAGTAAAAACATACTTATATACTAAAATTGAATTATGATGTTTTCCAAATAGAGGCGGCCCTCACAGAAAAGACACGGGCACACCCTGACAAGTGTGTACATACCTCCTCACCGCACTTGCCCACACCTTGCTAAGATGTTTGCTTGTTTTAAAGTGGGCACAATGACAAGCCTGTCATCTAGGGATCTGGTGTGGGAGGGGAGTTAGGGCTCAGGAAAGTGTGACCTAGTGCTTAGCAGTCAGAGTGGAAAAAAGAAGAAAAGAAAGAAAAAGAAAGAAAGGAGAAGCAAAGGTCAGCCTTCCCACACACTCACCCATATCCCCACCCTGGATTTCTCAGCCCGCACCAGAGAGGTGGAGCAGCCCCTGGCCTTGAGAAGCATGCCTGGTGGAGTTGTGGGGTGGTGACACAGGGCCACGAGCCGGGGTGTGGCCCTGAGTATGCCACGAGGGGCCCAAGTGGACAAGAACAGGACAGAGTCCAGTTCCACTCTGCACAAGCTTGTCGGGTGCACACTTCACACAGAGCACCCAGTCCCATCCCTGTGGGCTGGCAGTGGACAGAGTAAATTCTACCCTTGGGTAAGTGAAGAACAGGAGTTTTAGTACTTTCTGTAGATATCTTACATACGGCTTAAAAAAACAAAAAAGGTAAAGTCTGGCGTACTCAAAAAAATGGTAAAGAAAAACGGAGGGACCACAGCAGCAAAGCCGTGCACGGTCAGATCTGGAAGATGGTTGCTGGAACCTGGCAGTTGGCTGGCAACCACGAGTCTCATGTGTTCATCAAGACCGGACAGAAGCACCCTGGGAAGCCCATCTGGCACCGGGGCAATAAAGCCAGGAAATAAGGTACAGCAGCCAGCCCCAGACTCCCTGCCGTGAAACCTGACCGTCACTCAATACCTCCTCTAGGAAGGCACCATGTGCTTCTCGTTCCCTGGGGAACAGACGGCCACAGGCCCCGACAGGCTACAGGCATGACTGGCCTCGGTCTTACTCCCAGGCATGACGACAGTAGCCACAGGACAGAGTCCAGGTGGACACTGTGCCTACCTTGATCTGTCCAAAGCCAATGGTGATGGTGGCAGCAGAAGTGAAGCCTTTAATGACAGGGCAGGAGATGAAGTCCAGCAGGAACCCTGTGGCCAAGAGAGCGAGGACGGGGACATGTAATCAACCTCAGGAGAAGGGGTATGTGTGGGCAGGGCGAAGGGGCACAGTGGGGCTGGGGGGCAGACTCCACAGCTAAAGACTGACCGGCAACATGCCGCTCTGGACCTCTCTTTCTAAAGACTTATTTTTTAAAAATGTGTGTATGTATGTGCCTGTGTGAGTTTATGAGCACCATGTGTGTGCAGGAGTGAACAGAGTCCAGGAGAGGATGCCAGATGTCATGAAACTATAGTTACCGTTGGTTCTGAGTTGCCCAGGTGGCTACTGGGAATTGAACCCAGGTCTTCTGCAAGAGTGGTACATGTTCCTTTTTTTTTTTTTTTTTTTTTTTTTTTTTTTTTTTTTTGAGACAGAGTTTCTTTGTGTAGCTTTGGAGCCTGTCCTGGAACTCACTCACTCACTCTGTAGACCAGGCTGGCCTCGAACTCACAGAGATCTGCCTGCCTCTGCCTCCCAAGTGCTGGGATTAAAGGTGTGCACCACCAAGGCCCAGAGTGGTACATGTTCTGAACGGTGAGCCCTCTCTCCAGCCCTGTATCTGTGGTGATTCCCCTACAGGTTTGAATGAACCCAGCTCAACCTGTTTTATTGTAACTGGTGCTGGACGGGAGCTTCTCGCCATGTTTAAGCACAGCGTAATTTTGGAAAAAAGTATTTGGATAACAATTAACTCAGTCCCAATGTACAACAACTTAAGACACATGTTTACACAGAGATTCGTTACAAAGTACATCTGGCTTCTTTCACAAGAATGGGTACTGTTGACTCATAGATAGGGCCCAAGATTTAGGGTCTAGGGAGCTTGACTGAGGTAAACATAATCCTGTGGGTGTCAGGACTGGCCTGGCCCTGAGATAACACAGAAGTCACTTAGGCTGTTGTACAGCACGTGTGACATCACTGGTAAGAATGGACTTTATAAGCCAGGTATGATGGTGCACACCTTTAATCCCAGCACTCAGGAGGCAGAAGCAGGCAGATCTCTGGGTTCAAGACCAGCCTGGTCTACAGAGCGAGTTCCAGGTCAGCTAGGGCTACACAGAGAAACCTTGTCTCGAAAACCAAAACCGAAACCAAATCAAACCAAACCAAAACAAAACCAAAAAAGAATGGGTTTTGTGTTCTAAAAGCAATACTCAAGGTTTTAGGAGAAAGAGTCTGGGATAAGTAAAAACAAAATTTCTGGAAGATATAGGCAGCGCCTGTCTCATCAGACAGCAGAGGATCACCAGTTGTAAAACTTCACTCTTCCTGGCGTTCTGGAGGAACACTAAGCACCTCCATTGACAGGTGAGCTGTGTTTAGCCTTCCTGGCCTCTCCAGTGCTTATCTGTGTGCACGAGGCCTTTTTGCCCTCTACACATATTCTAGACATTTTGGAAGGTCGGAAAGGTCTAGGCTCTCCAAGTGTTCTCGTCTGGGCCCTGTGCAGAACACAGCAGAGCTGGAGGTGCCCCTCCCTGTATACAGTGATGTAAAGAAAGGCACCCCAGGAGGACTTGGAACCCCAGGAAGAGCAGCCGTGAACGCCCCCCACAACAGGAAAGCAGAGTCTTACCCAAATGCAGGAACCCCATGGCCAGCTGGATGCACCCAGACAGGAAGGCAAGCAGCACCGCGTAGGCAGGCTCACGGAAGGTGTAGAAGGACACCAGGAGGGACATGATAGCCGTAGGGCCCAGAGTCACGTCCCGGGAGGTGCCCAGGAAGAAATACACGAAGCATCCCACAAAGGCGGAGTAGAGGCCATACTGTCGGGAAGAGACTGCAGTGAGCACCAGGAGGCCCAGGCAGGTCACCAGGCATCCATGTCTCCGTTGTCTGTCGGCACCCCAGCACACATCAGAGGATGCACCTCTCTCCTTCCGCTAACTACCAAAGGTGGGGGCTGGGGCCGTCTGCTGGAAGCTCAGAGGTCTGTGTGCTTATAGTTGTGAGTCTGAGAAGTGTTTGCCTTTTTATTTATTTTTATTTCTTTTTTTTAATTTCTTTTCTTTTCTTTTTTTTTTTTTTTTTTTTGGTTTTTGTTTTGTGTTTTGAGACAGAGTTTCTCTGTGTATCCTGGCTGTTTTAGAACTTGCTCTGTAGACCAGGCTGGCCTCAAACTCACTGAGCTCCACCTGCCTCTGCCTCCCAAGTGCTGGGATTAAAGGTGTGCGCCACCACTGCCCGGCTTTGTTTTTAATTTTATGTTCCTGAGTATTCTGCCTGCAATTATGCATGTGTACCATGTGAGTGCAGGTGACCTCAGAGGCCCTGTTGGATCCCCAGTAGCTAGAGTCACAAGTGCTTGTTATGAGCTGTACCATGTGGGTGCTGGGCCTGAACCCAGGTCCTCTGCAGGAGCAGCAAATGTCCTTAACTGCCGAGGCATCTCTCCAGCCCTAAGTATTCCTTTAAATCTGTTGTCTGTAATTCAGTTTTTAGCCTTGTACTCTCAATCCACTTGTCTCAGCTTCCCAAGTGCTGGGATCACTGGGAATGAGACACCAGTACCTGCCCAGTCACCATAAGCCATGATGCGGGCCCCAGCTGGAAAATCTGGGACCAGCTTGGCGCCGAAAGGCAGTCACATGTTAAGTCTTAACAGTTAAGAGGTTAGACACAAAGAGGCCACCAGGGTAGGACACGTCCAAGTGTCTGAGGGCGCTGTCGGGTGTTTCTGCCTGTGCAGACACTGAGGAACAAGGCAGGGTGAGGCTGTGGAGAGGGGACAGCTATTTCACCTGGGGTGGGAGTCCGGCCACTTCCGCATAGGCCAATGCCTGGGGGATGACCGTGAGTCCCACGGAGAGTCCAGCGATGAAGTCCATCCTCAGCCACTGCAGAGAGTAATGAGGCAGCCAGGCCAGGATGGGCAGCCTCCTCTGCAGGGCCCCACGAGAGCAGCAGCAGGTGTCTGGTGCCATGTCCAGGCTGGGGCAGACCTCTCACGGAGGACGGATTCCCTAGAGTGGGGCTGGGCATGGGTGACACAGAGCAGTGATCGGGAGCTGGGCTTGGGAGAAGGTGGCAATATCCTGTAGAACCCCCCTCCCCAGGGCCTCAGGAGGAGGAAGTCTGCCTTTTGTGGAGGGGAGGCTGAACCAGGTGGCTAAGTTCACCAAACCATCATGAGCCTGGACCAAGGATTCAGGAAGGCCCCTCCCTTGGCCACTGCCCCTGAACCCCACTGTCCCCAAGCCTGGGTGTCTCTCCGTCAGCAGCAACTCCTGACAACAAACTCCTGCTAGCCTGGCAAACCAGCTCTTCACGGGAAGCCTAGAGACTAAATTTTAGGCTCTGAAGAATCGTTTCTTTCTCAACTCCCTCCCCAGGAAACCTGACGGTAGTACCAGCCCAGATAGAAGCAGGTCCTGCATGTCAGGCCTCCGAAGGCTGACTGAGTGTGCGGTTGGGCAGCCTGGAGGCTCCAGGGCGCCAAGATTTACAAGTGTGCACCTTACCACCTGGGAAAGCCACCACTGAGGAAGGGCTCCACTCACCACTGAGGACTGCAGTGGAGGAATGGGGACAGGGGGTGGGTGGGGGTGGCTCACATTCTAGAAGTCACGATTTCCCCAGCACCCACCTGTGGCATTCATAGCCCCAGACGAGCCCTGGGGACTCTAGCAGGTTTTCCAAAGACCAACTAGAGCTCCCAAATTAATTCTAGGTACATGTAGCATCCTCTAAGATTCTGGCACAACACACACACACACACACACACACACACACACACACACACACACACACACACACACACACGAGTCCCAGCACCATAGCTAGTTCACCACTACTGGTCCACTCGCCCAGTCCCCTGAAGTGCTATTCTGGACAAAGTCCACTCCTCTCCACACCCACGTCGCTGCTAGCGCGGGATCCTGAGGTCCCAGTGGGGAACACAAATAAGTCTGAGAATCTGGAGCAAGGCTGAGAACCTGGAGCAAGGCTGAGGGCGGCCGGATTCCGGTGTGACTCGGTGGGGGAGGGTCCCCGGAGTAGGGCGTATCCGGGGACCCAGAGCTGGCCCCGCGTCCACAGCTCCTAGTGACTCCAGCCCATGCGGCCACGCACTCCCTCGCTCCACTCCACGGACCCAGACTCACCCACCGGACGCTGAGGCTCAAGATCTCCCGATGTGGCCTTAGCTGAGTCCGCAGGAATCTCAGGGACAGAGTGGGCAGGGCATGGGCGGGGCCTGGCGTGCACGTGACCGTGGGGAGGGACCGAGCCGGAACCGCTTGCCCTGGCCGGCGCCGCCATGCACACCCGGGGACTGGCCTGCTGCGTGGCGCTGTTGGTCCTGGGACTCTGCTGCGTGCACTCGCGCAATGTGCTGCTGATTGTTGGTGAGTGCCGCCGTCCCTGGCACGGCCACCTGCTGCTGCCCCCGGAAGCGGCCACTCGGCTCCTGCCCTCCAGTGGCCCGTGCTGACTCCAGTGCGCCAGTTCTCTGGCAACCCCACTGCCATCCCTCATGTTGCAGGATACTTCGTAGGGACACTAAGTGCGTCAGGCTCTCCCGCTTCTGTCCTGTCCAGTCTGACCCAGCACTCCCACATCTAGTCAGAGCAGCCAGGGAAACCCCGTGGGCCCCAGCTGCTTAAGCCTGGCGGCCTTGCAGAGCGAGGGGGTTCCCAGAGCCCTGAGAAAGTTCCAAAAGAGAGACTGGCGCCCAGAGTTCCTGAGTCCTTGCAGGATGTCCCCTCAGCTCTTTCCGCCATCTGGCCTAAAGGTACAGTCCTCCACAGCCCACCTAAACTCCCTCAGCACCTCTTAGAAACCCCAAATTCCTCCAGCATTCACGAGACTTCCTGTTTGGGTGATCAGTGCCTGGCTTGTGACAACCCAATCCTTCTGAGGTCTGGCCCCGGGCCAGGCCTACTCTTTCTGATAAACTCTGTGGTGTCTGGGCAGGCCAGTTGGGTAATTGTAGCATAAACAGTGCTGTGTCATCACCGCTAACCCGCACACCTCCACGGGGGAGGACGGGACTAGTGAAGATCTGCCCTGCGCATACACTAGGGAGGGATTGGTGCTGCAGCCTTCCGGAGCCCAGAGGTTAGGTCCTGTCTCAGCTTGGGCAGCTATAACAACAAAAACCTTACAGGCGTGGGGCTGGAGAGATGGCGCAGTGCTTAAGAGGACTGGCTGCTCTTCCAGAGGACTCAGGTTCAATATCCAGCCCCCACATGGTGGCTCACAGCTGTCTGTAACTCCAGTTCTGAGGCATCTGAAGCCTCTGTTAGTGTCTGTGGGTACATGTGCATACATGCAGGCAAAATATCCACAAAGCATAAAATAAAGATTAACACACACACACACACACACACACACACACACACACACACACACACACGGCCAGGTTTTTGACAAACAAGTATATTTCTAACAATTACAGAGTCTGGAGACTGGGATAGAGAGCCAGCTCCTCAGTCGGCTTCTGGGGAGGCCTTCCTGTCCTCCCACCCGTCCTTCTGCCTGTCCTCCCACCCATCCTCCCACCCGTCCTCCCGCCTGTCCTCCCACCTGTCCTCCCGCCTGTCCTCCTACCTGCCCAGTTGATGCTCGGGATGGAGGATGGTAGCTGGGCTGGAGCTGGCCATCCACCTCTATTCAAGGATTGTGTTGCCTCTGAGGCAGGTGGGTGACATGTTGCCTCTGGGGTTCCCACCAGCTACTTCTGGGGAACTCTGCTGCAGAGTAGAGGGAAGGCTGTAGGATCTGGGCAGCTTGTCCTCATCCACTGCCCAGTGGTGGCTGTGTGTGCTGCATGTCACCTCTCTAGGCTTCAGGTGCCTTCTGTAGGGTGGAGGGGATGATTAGTTAGCCAAGACTATAGCCTCTGGGGAAGACGACTGTGTTTCAGCAAGAGGCGGAGGTGTGGTGTGCACACACACAGGTGTCCCCGGCTGTGTCCTGGGCATGGCTCTCCTGGCTGGCGGCCACCTTGTGAGGTATCTGCAGAGCCCAGGGTAGCTCAGTAGCCTGTAGTTGTTACGTCAGGCCACCACCTGCTAACATGCCTGCATGACACCGAGTGTGTTGGGGTGTCGTGCTTCCCGCACTAGCCTACCTGGTAACATCCCCACCTGAGTGTCGTGAATTGGGTTCCACGCAAGCCATGGTGTTGCCTCTCCTGCTAACGCATCCTCTCAGGGATCTTGCCTGCCTGTGTGTTCTCTGCTTTCTCACAAACTCCCGTATCATCATGCCTCCCTCGGGTGTCCTGCCTTCTGGGAGAGGCTTGCTCTCCTGAGCATCACAAGGCCAAGCCTTTGCAGCAGTTACTCTGGGTCCCAGACACTACCCCTGCTGACCCCAGCCAACATGCCTGCTCTGTGTTCCTCAGCGGATGACGGAGGTTTTGAAAGTGGTGCGTACAACAATAGTGCCATCTCCACCCCTCACCTGGATGCCCTGGCCCGCCACAGCCTCATCTTCCGAAATGCCTTCACCTCTGTCAGCAGCTGCTCCCCGAGCCGTGCCAGCCTCCTCACCGGCCTGCCCCAGGTGAGAGTGCCTAGTGGGATGGAGGAAGGGAGCGGTGGAGAGGTGACTCCAGGGCCCAGGCCTCTGCCGCGGGAACACACACACACACACACACACACACACACACACACACACACACACACACCTGTCTCTCCCTGAGGTGCTGTCTGGTTTCCTTTGCATCTGCAGGGACAGGGACAGCCCAGAGATCTCAGGTGCAGACCAGGGCCTGCCTCACCACCCGTCAGCTCAGGGGCTCTGTCGCCCCACGGCCATGAGCAGATAGCGTCCTCATCTGTGACATGGAGGGCACAGTGAGGTGTCACGCACAGGTCATTGTGGGGGTTGGCCAAGCATGGCTTTGTGGGTAAAGTGCTTAGCACAGAGCCTGCACACATGCTGCCCAGCTCTGCCCTCGGATCTGTGGTAGGTCAGGCGCTCCCACGCAATGCTTAGGCACTTCCTCTTTTTGTTGTTATGGGAAAGTACATACAACATAAAATTTGCCATCTTGACAGTTTTCCAGTGCGTGGTGAGTGGTGTGAGACGTGACCACATGACAGCAGCCGTCCCCACCCTCCACCCCTAGAACCTGCTCTAATTGTTACTCTGTCCCCTTAACACACTACCGTCCCGTTACACACTACCATCCCATTACACACTACCGCCCCGTTACACACTACCGTCCCGTTACACACTACCGCCCCGTTACACACTACCGCCCCGTTACACACTACCGTCCCGTTACACACTACCATCCCATTACACACAACCGCCCCGTTACACACTACCGTCCTGTTACACACTACCGCCCCATTCCTGCAGACCCTCTCCATGCTGTCTCTGATCTGATGACTCAAGGGCCGTCCTGCGAGTGGGCTCACTGCTGTCCACCTTTTGTGACTGGCTGTGTACTGAGCTTAGCATCCCTGAGGGCCCTGCTCCTTGTAGCCCATGAACTTACTTCTTTCTCAAGGTCTCTGTGAAAATTCCTTTAATCCCAGAATGTGGGAGACAGAGGCAGGAGGATCTCTGTGAGTTCACGGCCAGTCTGATTCTACAGGATGAGTTCCAGGATAGTTGGGTACATACAGAGACTCTGCATTAATATGTTTTTCTGTTCTAAAGGATTTTTTTTATTGTTTTTTGTTTGTTTGTTTGTTTTGTTTTGTTGAGACATGGTTTCTCTATGTAGTTTTGGAGCCTGTCCTGGAACTCGCTGTGTAGACCAGACTGGCCTCGAACTCACAGAGATCAGGCTGGCTCTGCCTCCCGAGTCCCTGGATTAAAGGCGTGCGCCACCACTGCCCGGCCTTGTCCTAAAGTTTTAATTTACATTTTTAAATTTATCTTTTATGAGCCAGTGCGGTGGAACACACCATGCACGTCACAATGAGTCTCTAGAGTCAGAGACAACTTGTGGAGTGGGTTCTCTCCTCGCAGTCTGTGGGTCTCAGGAGTCGGACTCAGGTCTCCATCAGGCTTAGCGCTTTCCCAGCTGAGCCATCTTGCACACCCCTAACCTTGTTTGAGACAGGGTCCAGGCCCAGACTTGCCTCAAACTCAGTGTGCAGCTGGGGCACATCTCCCTGGTTCCTTTCCCTGCTGCTGGTGTCCTCTGTCACAGGAGGGACAAGGACAGGGTGGAGTTCTCCTTGGGCCAGCATCCTGAAGGGTTCTGGATGGGCTGTGGGGTGTGGAGCCTAGTCTTACGGCATCTGGCATCTGTCTGTAGCACCAGAATGGCATGTATGGGCTGCACCAGGATGTACATCACTTCAACTCCTTCGACAAGGTGCAGAGCCTACCACTGCTGCTCAGCCAGGCTGGAGTGCGCACAGGTGAGGCGTGGGTGGGGTACGGTACAGGCGCGTGGTCCCCCTCTGACCCTTTCCAGCCAAAGCTGAAGTCACTCTCAACCTCTGTGACTGTTGCTTTGCCAGGCCAGCCTGCACAGAGGTGAAGCATGGGTCTGTGGAAAGGACACAGGTGCAAGGCCACTGTGTGACCCTTCCTAGCCTCTTAGAGAGGATGTCCAGGGCTCTGAGTCACCCCTAGAACCAGACCAAAGTCTCCATCTGCCCACCCACAGCAGCCACACTTTTAGGGCTTGGGCAGGATAAGGGGAGAGAGTGGACTTTGGACAGACAGACCTCTTCCCTTGTCCGCCCCCAGGCATCATTGGGAAGAAGCACGTGGGTCCGGAGACTGTGTACCCCTTTGACTTTGCCTTCACGGAGGAGAACAGCTCCGTGCTGCAGGTGGGGCGGAACATCACTAGAATTAAGCAGCTAGTCCAGAAATTTCTGCAGACTCAGGATGACAGGTACGGAGGGCTCTGTCCTGTCACCCTCTGGGGAGGCCGGACCTCTCAACAGTGGACGTAGGCCCTCATCCCAGGGTCCACGGCTGACTGTGGCAGGAGCAGAGGAAAACATTCTAAATACCCAGGAGAGGGGGAGGGGGAGACTGAGGCAGCGGGGGAGACAGGGTACGAGTAAGCCAACCCAGAGTGTGCCTACCTAAGACTGGGGCTCTTAGGGTCAAGACATTGGTCTGGCCTTGACCCTCATACTGACCCCTCCCCCACATTCAGGCCTTTCTTCCT